TTGGCAGAGCCACTGGAGTGGTTTGCCATTTCCTTTTTCAGCTCATTTTACAGATGAGGAAACTGAAGCAAAGAGGGTTAAGTGACTTGCCCGGGGTCACACAGATAGTAAGCATCTGAGCATCTACACATTAGAAACTGGCAAATATTACATATCAGGACTTGATTTATGGTTTTGTTGATTGTCTAGACTTGAGAAAGTAAAGGAGAAAATGGTAATAACGAAGATCAGCCTTAAAAGTGGGTCCCAGATTTAGAGAACTGATTGTTAAAATTAGTTACCAGCAAGCCCCTGGTCCAAACCTTATCACTTGTCAATTCTTGTTGATTCCACCTCCAAAACATCTCTCCAACCAGTCCCTTTGTCCATTCGAATATAACACATCTAGTCTAGATCCTCATAATTTTTCTACTGAATTATCTCAATGGTTAATTTTTCTCCCTGACTCCAGTTTCTCACCACTATAAGCCATCCTCCATAAAGAGGCCAAAACAACCATCCTAAAACACAGGTCAGACCACATCACTTCCCCATTTGAGAAGGAATTGCTTCTCCAACAAAATACAAATTCCTTTATTTGATATTCATAGCCCTTCACACCCTGGTTTCAGTTTACCTTTCCAGGTTTATTACATGTTATTTCCTCTCACGTACTCTTAGGTTCCAGTCAAATCGGCTGCTTCCTGTCCCCCAGCATGACATCCCATTTCCCATCTCTTCGGTCTTTTTACAGGCTGTCCCCCTCACCGCCATGCCTGGAATTTACTCTCCAAACCTCTAGTAAATAGAGATAATGTTAGAATCTCTAGCTTCTGAGAAAACCAACTCATGTTCCACCTCCTTCCTATAGGAAGACCTCCCTCCCCAAACCAACACATTTGATAGCTTTCTCTCCTGGTTCCAAATAGCTGGTATTTATTTATCTGTGTATTGCCTCAGACACATACTGGCTGTGGAACTGTGAACAGGTGCCCTAGGCACCTCTTTAAAACTGGAAATCGCAGAGAAGGGGCTAACCTTTATTGTAGAAGGAGTTTCCTTGTCCACCAGTTCTCTGTACCAATGAAATCATACATCTAGTCCCTATCTCTATGGGATTAAATATATCCCTCCCAGGGGAGTGTGAGCTCTTTGAATGAGAGGGAGGTAAAGCATTTATTAATAATAGCTAACATTTATATAGCACCTAAGATTTGCAAATTTCTTTACATACAAATTAGGCTGACAGGTGGTACAATAGCTAACACCTGAATTCAAATCTTACCTCAGACACTTACTAGCTGTGTGACCCAGATACTTCGTGTTTCTCTAAATTTCCTCATCTGTAAAATGAGTATAAGAATAGCACTTACCTTCTGGGGTTGTTGTGAGGATAAAATGGGATAATATTTGTAAAGTGCTTTGTAAACCTTAAAATTCTAGATAAAGGCTAGGTATTATTTAATTCTCACAACAACCTTGTGAGGTGGGTGCTTTCATTATCTCCATTTTTACAGATGAGAAAACTGAGTCTAAACAGTTAAGTAACTTGCCCAGTTACACAGTCCATCAGTGTCTGAAGTTGGATTTAAAACTAAGGTCTTCTGAACCCCAAGTCCTTAACTCTAGCCAGCACACCACCTAGCCTCCCTGGGAGTAGGAGGGGGGAGGTGCTGGAGGAACACTGGGAAGGAGGAGTGGGAAAAGTGTTTATCAAACACCCATTATTACTGTGCCAAGCACTTCACAAATATCATCTCATTTTATCTTCACAATAATCCTCAGAGGTAGGTGCTAATATGACCTCCATTTTACAGCTGAGGAAATTCAGGTAGGCAGAAGTTAAGTGACTTGCCCAGGGTCACACAGCTTATAAGTTGTTGTTTTTCAGTTGTATCTGACTCTTTATGATCCTATTTGGGGTCTTCTTGGCAAAGATACCGGAGTGGTTTGCCATTTCCTTCTCCAGCTCATTTTACAGATGAGGAAACTGAGGTAAACAGGGTTACATGACTTGCCCAGGGTCACACAGCTAGTAAGTGTCTGAGGCCAAATCTAAACTCAGGTCTTCCTGACCTCAGGCCTAGAACTCATCTACTGATCCACTGTACCACCCCAGTGCTTAGATTAAAAAAAAACAAAAGTAGAGATAGTCCCTGTCCTCAAGAAGCTTACATTCTAATGGGGACTAATAGGGAAAGACAACACTCTTGGGGCAGTGGTGGCCAGGAAGGAGCACTTTGGTCAGTATCATTATGGAGATGGTGGGTAGGGCCTTAGAGGACTAGATTCACATGCGCTTTCTAAGAGGTAAGGCTAAGTTGATTTGGTCATGGTTCCAGAACTGAAGAAGGGTAGAGGGGAGAAAGAAGGAAAATCCAGGGTACTCAAAGAGGAAAGTCTGTTGGGTAAGAAGATGGTCAGAGAATAGGGAATGGTGTTATGGGAGAAATATCTCCTCTCTGAGTTCATGTGGTGGGTGGCCAAATCTATATTTACCACAAGGCAGAAATTATAGAGGTAAAAACCTAGGTTTTATTATTATGCTCAAGCACAGTCAGGCCTCAGAGAAAACCTAAACAATCATTAGGATTCTGACAAGGCTTCTTATAGGCAAAATTATGTCAGAGGAACAGAGAAATAATTCATTTATAGATTGTAATCTTGTACATTCCTCTTAGGCCATAGAAGTTAAAGAGAAGATAGAGCTCATGCTTCCTTCAATGTCATAAAAGTTAAACAAACTTAGTTAAGCATTCATAATTTCATATATCTCCAGGGAAACAAACCTCATCAAACTCTATAAGTAAATTAAAGTCAGGTTACAGGTTAAACTACATTTAGAGGATTCACAAATAGGCTGATTAAAGAGGAGGATTTACACTTCCAAGGATGCAGAGAGAGTTGAGAACCTTTCTCTGCCTTCCTTTTTTAAGGAATATTTAAGGCTCTAAGCGCTAGGTGGCTAACTAGGTGTCTCAGTGGCTAGATCACCCGGCTTGGAGTCAAGATGTGAGTTCAGAACTATGGAGTTGGAATGCAGATTGAAGCATACTATTTGCTCTTTTTTTTCTTCTGTTTTGTTTTGTTTCTGCTTTCTTGTGGTCCTTCCTATTGGTTCTAATTCTTCTTTACAACATGACTAATGTGAAAATAGGTTTAATAGGAATGTATATGTAGAGCCTATGTCAGATTACATGCTGCCTTAGAGAGGGAGGTGGGGAGGGATGGGGAGAAAATTTAAAACTCAAAAGTTTATGGAAATGAATGTTGAAAACTAAAAATAAATCAATTAATTAAAAAAAGATGTGAGTTCAAATCTGGCCTCAGTTACTTACTAGCTGTGTGACCCTGGGCAAGTTACTAAATCCCTATTTTCCTCAGTTTCTTATCTATAAAATGGGCACACACTGGAGAAAGAAATGGCAAACCACTCCAATATCTTTGCCAAGAAAACTCCATTTGCAAGTCAGACATGACTGAAGAAGAAGGTTTTAATTAAATTTTTATATCCCATGGGGCAGGTTTTGGTGAGGTGAATTTAATATTAAGACAGACTTTCAGCTAACCAAAATTTGCAGGAGGAATGGTCCTGAGTTCAAAATAACAAAAGGAAACAAGAAATCCTCATAACAGAGTGCAACTTGTCTGGAGTCTGCCTAAAATAGTAGACCATTCACCAACATGGATGTTGGGGAAACTGAGGGCAGGAACTGTTTCTCATTTTGTCTTTTTATCTCTAGAACCTATCCAAGCACAATGCTTTGTATATTAAGAGCTTGCTAAATATTTATTAAATGGATGGATGGATGGATGGATGGATGGATGGATGAGTGGATGAGTGGATGGATGGATGAATGAGTGGCTGGGTGGATAGATGGATGGATGAATGAGTGGATAGGTGGATGGGTGGATGAGTAGAGGAAGGAATGGAGGGAGGGATGGATGAAATTATCTAGGCCAATGCTCTCATTGAATGGGTGAGAAAACTGAGGCTCAAGTAAGTTGTCTACGGTCATATCAGTAGTTCCAAATCCTGAAAAATGTTAGACATGAGGCTTTTCCACTATATAGCAAGCTGCTTCGCTCTTTATCAAGGATAAATTTCTTTTTGAATTTCCTCATACCCCTTGGACTCCAGACACTGGCTTTTAATGCAACATTACAAGGTTTTTGTAAGAGCAAGAATGAACTTTCTGTAAACACCTCTTAGATCCACTGCATCATTTTTTAAAAGAGATCGCTGAGCCTCAGAGAGGGAAACTGACTTGCTCAGGCCATCCAGCTAATGCAGGAGGGCGAAAGAGCCAACTCAATCCAACCTCACTCCTCTGACTCTTTTGAATCTATGTTTTCTTTCTTTCTTTTGGCACGGTGTCAGTTTCCTTTGGAATGGGTTTAGCTGTGATTTATCCTTCCAGATAAAGGGCAGGGAGCCTGCGGAAGGGAGGAATGACTGACTTCCAAGGGGGATGATGCTGTGGTAACAGCAAATTTTTGTAAATCACCAGCCAATCCATCCTAAGCAGGGACCCAAGGAAATTCCACCTCATGCAGTGTCAGAGGAAACAGAAAGAGCACTCCCAGCTGTGGGAAGGCTGAGGAAATCCCCATCGTTGCCTCAGCTCCCAGAACCTGCTCCTGGTCAGTTTCATTTGTCTGACAAAGGGCCTGGGACTTTGTTGCATTCATTCCTTGCTTGGAGGTGCTGGGATTTGGCACCAGAGTGTACTTAGAAAAGACTGTCCTCCCCCTACATCCCCCCAACACACATCCTGGGATTGTGTTTTTTGTTTTGTTTTGTTTTTTTAATTTTTAGAACAACGTACATCTTCTCGAGAAATCCTGGGAGCTAGGGTCCACCTTGGGAAGAGCCAGGTGGGTTGGAGGGATGCATAGGATGTCCAGTCTAGAACCTGAGAAGCCAGGAGCTGAAGGCCTGCTCGGTCCCTGTGGCCCCTTTAAGAGCCTGCCCGTCCCCCGCCATGTGGCCTGCTGACATCAGAGCAGGAAGTGTTTGAGGAAGTCTACAGCTGGCAGGCAGGCTGTCTAATCCAGGTCCCCGAACCCTGATGTGGGCAGGGGGGCACCCACCGACCTAGGTCCCTCCAGGTGGTCCCCACCTCCCTCCAGGGATCCCTGTTCCCTGCCCTGGCAAGTGCCGCCTCCCCCTCCCCCAACCACCCGGCAGGTGAGTTTCACCACTCCTTCAACCCCCACCCTCCTCACCCCTGGGGACCCTGAGCTGGAACAGGTGGCTTAAGGTGGAACCAGTCGTGACCTCCTTCTAGTCCCTCTCCTTGGTCACTTCTCCTGACTTCCAGGGAGATAATCAATCCTGTTCGCCCCTGCCTGGAGGCTTGGGAACAAATTTCTACTGAGTTTGGAAAGTTTGCTTTTCCCACCTACTCTGTTTTGTTTCTAGTTGGCGAGTATTAAAATTCGGGAGTTCTGTAAAGCCCAAAGAGAGAAAATCCAGCTGGTGTGGGTTCCCCCACCGATCCATTTGAAGTGGGTGGTTTGGTGTGGCGGGGAAGGATTCATTCATAGGCTTCCCATACCATATAAAGGCATACGTGATTTTCCAGGAGGTAAGAACTGACTTTAAAAATTTTTGTCCAGGGAAAGTAGGGGGAGGGAGCCTTTAAATGGCACCATAGGTGAATTTCTTTGGTGGCTGAGGGATCTCTTCGAGTGACCGAGGTAGGAGAGGTGTTGAAGAATTTGTTAGAGAAGACTTCCTTTTTTAAAAAGAAAACAAAAACCTGCTTGTCCTTTCTCACTCACACCCAAAGGCAGGAATCCTCTGTCCCGTTCCATCTCTCCAAGGGGTCTTCTTTTTCTTCCTCTGACCCTCCGCCTGTGAATTCCCACAGCAATAACGTCTTCAGAATGAGCTGGCCACCTTCTCTTCAGATGCAGACTTGTGGGCCCTGGGAAATGAAAGAACGGCTTGGAACTGGGGGATTTGGAAACGTCATCCGGTGGCACAATGAGGTAGGTAGCACCGCTCTCTAGCGTGGGAAGAAACAGTCATGGGGTGAGGGGGGTTAGTGCAAATCACACTTCAATTGGCAAGTGGCTCTGGGGAGCTCTAGGTGCTCCTATCCCACCGTGTTCCAGCTTGTCCTGGTGGTAGGGTGGTCTCATTTGGAAAAAAGAGGAAAAGAGGCAGAAAGAGCATGGATCAGAGTAGCTTCCTCAGGTCTGCGAATTTCCCCTAGCTTGCGTGTCAGAGAAACTTTGGACATGTCACCTACCTAATCAATCAACTGTCATTTATTAAACCCTTACTGTGTGCAGGGGAAACAAAAAAAAGTGAAAATCCCTGACTTCAAGGAGCTTATAGTCCAACATCCAGTGACTGGATTTCATCATAAAGAACAAACTCATGTCCTGACAAAATCCTACCAAAAAACAATTTCCTTAAGGTTGTGGCTCACCTTCCAGCCAGAAAGGTCAGCAAGTTCTTCACCATAATCCAGGAGTCTGGCTGAAATGAATGGTCACAACTGTTGGTTGTTTGCCTCTGAGGCTCTTGACTGGACTGTCATGCCCCAGGGTTATGCAACTCCAAAAGTGAAAGTATCCCAGGCTTTCTTGATTCCCGGTGGACAGGACTCCTTCTGGATATTTGCAGGTTAGAGCTTTGGAGTCAGGTTGCTTAGGAGAAAGGCTGTCATTTCTGGCAGAGGGTCAGGCATCCTAGCCAGTCCTGTACCCGAAAGGGCCCACTGGAAAAAAAAAAAGGCTAATCTCAACTCCCTCAGATCTAAAGTGGATGATCACCCACCTGAGGTTAACTTCCCTCTCCCCACTATGGTCTTGCATTAAATACAAACCCCCCCCTTAGAGTCACCAAATCATTCCTGTATTATAACATTACATTCAATAAACATTTATTAAGTGTCTGTTACAGGAAAGTCTCTGTCCTGAAGGCTGTGGATATAAAAACTAGACAGTCCCTGCCTTCAGGGAGCTCACATTCAATTTTAGGGATACACATGGACAAGCATAAGTAAATACAAAATAACCCGACGTGTTGAAAATGAGTGATAGTCTTATAAAGGGTAAATAAATAAAACGTATAGAATCTAGACTCCTTGACTGTCACAGGGACCTACAGCTCCCATTTCTGCAGTACCTTCCAGCAGACAAAGCCCTTTCATCACCACAACCCTGTGAAGTAGAAATTATAAGCATTTGGTTTTTTTTACCAAAGCTTTGATTTCATTGGTTTGTGAAACTCTTGATAAGGAAACATCCTATACCTATACAGATTTGCACATTAGAGAGTTGCCTGGGACAGGGATGAAGTGATTTGCCCAGGGTCCCATGACCCATTTGTGTAAAAGGTGGAACTTGAACCTAGATCTTTTGACTTGGAAGCCTACTCTTTGTCCATTGTGCCATGCTAACTCTCAGGTATTGTATGTGTTATTATGCCCATTATACAAATGAAGGGGGTTTAAATTTCTTGCCCAAGATCAAATGGTTACATGGGTTTTTGTTGTTGTTCAGTCATTCAATTGTGTCTGACTCTTCGTGACCCTGTGGACCATAGCACGCCAGCGCTGGCCATGGGGTTTTCTTGACAAGAATGCTGGGATGGTTTGTCATTTACTTCTCTAGTGGATTAAGGCAAATAGAGATTAAGTGACTTGTATAGGGTCACACATCTAGTAAGTCTCTGAGGCCAGATTTGAACTCAGGCCTTCTTGACTCCAGGCCCAGAGCTTTATCCACTGATCCATCTAGCTGCCTCTTTATATGGTAGCACTAGGAGCCGAATATTGTTACACAGAGTTCAGGGATCATTCTCTTTCACCACCCTTTGTAATAGGTCCCTTCTCAGCCTAGTCAAGGGCAGTTACTCTTGCTTTAAAAAAAAGGAAAGAAAGGAAGAAAAGAGGGAAAAGGAGAGGAGGGAGAGAGACAGAGATTGAGAGACAGGAGAGGAGGGAGAGAAAGAGAGAGAAAAAGAGAAAGAGAGAGGGAGGGAGAGAGAGAAGGAGAGAGGGAGAGAGATTGAGAGAGAGAGAGGAGATAATTTCCCTTTAAGTATTCCAGCTATCTGTCATATCTAGTTTGAAATGGTGTCCACCTGCTCGCTAAACACCATTGCTTCATAGCCACAAAGGCTGTTTTGGTTTTGACCTAACCATGGGCATATGGGCAAAGTCTGTGGGGTAGAGAAGTGTGTGTGTGTATGTGTATTTATATTTGGAATCTGACCTGCACATTACTATTAATTAAGTTATTTCTCTGAAATACCATTCGCCCACCACACACACCCCAGTTGACTCTGCTTTCTGGGTGTGCCCTGTTACCCTCAGCCACTTGTGTGGGTGCCGCAGCAACAAGAGAATTGAGTTTTTTTGACTAAAGGCCAGAGCTTAGGATGTGACTTCCAATGAGGGCATCTTCATTGGAAGGACTCATCCCTGAGTCACCATGAGGAAGCTTCCTTTTGGAAGAAGTTCTATCCTCTCTTTCCTAAAGATAAAGCTTTTCTCTAAAGGACAGTCATAAGGACAGGTCTAAGTCCACCTGGAAAGGAACCTGAAAAGATCTAGGCCAGCCTCCTTATTTTACAGATAGGGAAACTGAGGCCCAGAGAGACGTGTCAGAGCCAAAGTAACACAGCTAGGGAATAGCAGAACCAGGATCTAAACTCTAGGCCTCTGACTTCAAATCCTGTACTCTTTCCACTGCATTACACTTCCTGAGACATTAGAGCACTATTGAAGTCATTGTGAGGTGAGGTGAGAGGGACCAGTACTTTGTGGTCCTGGAGCAAAGCACTAGTGTAGGTGCTTCTAACTGAATCACCGGTGGTTTTGAAATAGGGGTTTAAAAGTTGTTGTTGGCTAAGCCTAAACTTGACTTAGTCCAGGAGGTTCAAGTTTTTTGGCCTTTATTTAAAATTCAGTAGGTGCTCATGAACCATAAAATCCAATTAAAACTACTTTAATCATTAAAATTTTAAAATGCATGATTCAAGAGTTAAAAAGGATATAAAGCACAATTCCCTTTCTATAGTCAGGAACTGAAGGAAGCACCCTGTAGTTCAAGCTCCAGAAAATTATTCTGGTCACTTACCTGCCCCCAGGTTAATCCTACTATATATAATTCAAACCACTAGGCCTACAATGCCAAGGAACAAAGGGGACTGAATGTGGCCACGATAGCTGCAGTAACCCCAGGAACAAGCATAAGGTCCCACTACATTCCGCTCCTTGGAGACTGGTTCCTAACAATTTTCTGGGAGACCTTTCATCATTAAAGCAATCTCAAAAACAGCTCTAAAAACTGGAGAATGAGAATAAAACAAATAAAAATACAAAACAATATAAGCAATCGTTTTTTTTTCAATTGGGAAAATGCTGTCGGTGGCAGTTCCTAAAAATCTTATGAGTTAAAGTAATAGTGATGGCCAGGAGTAGCACCAGGAACTTAAGATCCACTAAATGGATGATAAGAAGCCCAGCTTTGTCACTCCATTACTGATCTAGACCACCTGAATTAAAACAACTAAGAGGGGAAGGTAGGTGACACAGTAGATAGAGTTCCGAGCCTAGAGTCAGGAAAATCTAGCCTCAAGACACTTACTAGCTGGGTAACCTTGGGCAAGTCACTTGACCCTGTTTGTCTCAGTTTCCTCATTTGTAAAATGAGCTATAGAAGGAAATGGCAAACTACTTCACTATCTTTGCCAAGAAAACCCTGAAAAAGGATGTCAGAGTGGGTCATGACTGAAAACTGTACAACAACAAGAGGACACAGACCTTTTACATTCAGACTCCCCCAGGGCCTAAGATGAAATTGAGACTTGCCCATTCAGTGTTTCCAGGCTCCCAACCAAAACTTTGCCTCCTTGTGAGCCTCATCAGGGAATAATACCAAATTTTTGCCCCTTAGGAACATTTACCAAAGACTTATCATCTTCCATGGGGGTTGGATAAAAACACCCTTTCATCCAGGGATTTAAAATGACTACTAAACAAGTCAAAAGACTCCCTTTCCTCCAAGTTAGCAATTCTCAAAGCGTTGTTCTGACACCCTTTTAGGGGGTCAAAACTATTTTTGTAATAATAACAAGGTATTTTAATTTCTAAAATGGCAAATATTAATTGATAGAATCTATGTAATCGCAACCACTTTGGGATCCTTTCCACATTTACAATAACTTTATTAGCTAGGTAGCATGGTTGGATAGAGCTGTGGACCTGGAGTCAAGAAGACCTGAATTTAAATCTGGCCTCAGACACTTACTAACTGTGTGACTTTAGACAAGTCACTTAATTTCTGCCTGCCTCAGTTTCCTCAACTATAAAATGAGGATAGTAATAGTACCTATCTCATAGAGTTGTGAAAATCAAATGAGATAATAGTGCCTGGCACATAGTAGGTGCTTAATAAATTTTTGTTCACTTCTCCCTTCTCCTCCAGTATTTGTGACTTTGCATAGCCCTCCCTCACTTAAATCCAATTCACTTGCATGTCATGGCATCACCTCTATGATGTTATGCTCCCAGTTCTTTCAACTTCTATACCTTTTAAAATAGGGGAGAATTAAGTTTCTTTACTTTAAAAGTAGGCTTATTCCTTAGAGTTATTTTTTTTTAACATAACACTATCATTTCTTTTCTTAGTCTCCCATCCTTTCCCTCTCTGCATCTAATCTGTCATCAGGGTCTTTGAATTCTATTTCCACACTATTTCTCATATCCATCTCCTTAATCACTCCTACTCTCAGCAGCCTCATTCAGGCCCTCATGACTTCTCTTGGGATATTTTAATAGTGTTCTAATGTGTGGTCACACTGTGTGTTTCCTCTCACCTCCCACTGATTCTGGATTAATTGTTCTAATGTGCGGGGTGCTGTAATTATGAATAATCAGTACTGGCTCTTTTGACAGAAAGGGTCAATTCCTGAAGCCCCCTACCTTGATAGAGCTCCTCTTTGAGAACATCTAACTTAGGCCAGCATGGTGGTGGATGCCTGTAAACCTTGCCGCTGTAGAGGCTGAGGCTGGTGGATTGCTTGAGGAAAAAAATGGAGTTCTGAGCTGCCGTGGGCTAAGCTGATTGGGTGTCTTTACTAAGTCTAGTAAATATGGAGTGGAAAGGAGAGGCCAAAAATGACAAATAGGGCATTGAAACTCCAAATAAATGGGGAGATAGTAAGAGAATGACTTGCTGCCCTTTGTGAGTCAGGCCACCAGAGCCAAGTGATGGTCAGGAGCAGCACCAGAAGCTTCAGGTCCACCAAATGGGTGGTAAGATGTCCAGCTCTGTCGCCCCATCACAGGTCTAGATCATCTGAATTAAAATCTCTGAGAGGACACAGGCGTCTTGCATGCTTCCCATGGTGAGATTCGACAGAGGTCATTAGTGAGCTAGTATCAGTGATCTTTGAAACATCATGGAGAATGGGAGAGGTCCTGGAAGACCTTATAGATAAAGCAGGGGTTCTTAACCTCTTTTTTGTGTCATGGCCCCCTGGCAGTCTGAAGAAGCCATGGACCTCTTCTTAGAATGTTTTTAAATAATTGGAGGAAATGCTAAAATTTTCAGTTAGAGGTTAATAAAATTAAAAATGTATATTTTCCTATCCAAGGTCATGGATTACCTGAAATCTATCCTTGGACACTTTGGAGATCTGTGGACATCTGTGGACCCCAGATTAAGAATCTCTGATATAAAGACACATGTTGTCATACTTATTTTCAAAATAGGGAAGAAGGTGGAGTCTGCAGACCACAGGCCAGTAAACTTGACTTTAATTCCTGGCAAAATTTTGGAACCAGTTATTAAAAGAATGGTTAAGGAACATCTGCAAAAGGACTCAGTAATTACAGACTGCCAAGAGTCGATCATGCCTTTGGGTTATGAGACCGGCAGGTCCAGGGAAAGCTTTACAAAAAAAATTTTTGTAAAGCATTCGACAAAATCTCTCGTGTTTTTCTGTCATGTTTCTGGTCCGTCTTGAGGACTAGATGGAGAGATATGGACTGAACAAGAGTATTGTTAGGTGGTTTCAGAAGTGTTTTGAATGGCCAGACCCAAAGACGAGTCATTACTGGTTTGAAGTCAACTTAGAAGGAGCTCTTTAATGGGACCCTAGGATTTGTGCTTGGCCTTGTGTTGTTTAACATTTTTATTAATGACCTGGAAAAATAATAATAATAACTCACATTTACATAAATTTTATACTTTATAAGACCTACTTATAATTAATAGGTGCTTTAAATGTGTTGAATTGAAAAGGGTTTTTCTTACAACAACCCTGTGAGATAGGTATTCCAAGTACTTTAATCTCCATTTTACAGATGAGGAAACAAGTACAGAGATATTTGATTTGCCCAAGGTCACAGAGCTAGCAAATGTCATAGCCAAGAAAAAAACGAAATCTCTCCTGATTCCACTCCAGAACTCTTTTCTCCATACTATACTGGTTCTCTAAAGTCACAGAGGGCATACTTCTCCAGCTTAAACCTGAGAGGCATAGCTAATACCATTGTGTGGTTTTGGGTTATAATATAAATATACTTATATAATATTCATTTGTTTATACTATATTCATATAACATATACTATATCAATATTATATGATAATATAAAAATATGAAATATATAAACTAATATGTGATATGAATGTAATATAAAATATTTCCTAAATATAGCATTTAATAAATATTTTATAAATATATATTTCATGTAAAATAATATAAATGAACATACATATAAAATAAATATATAATGTATTATATTATATACATATAAAGTATAATATGTGATATATAATAATATAAACAATCTCAGCCGGTAGAAAGAATATTGTGTTCAGTTTTCTGGACCATATTTGAGAAAGTTGATAAGCTGGAGAGTATCCTGAGGTGGACAATCAGGGTGGTAAAGGGTGATGATGATGATGATGATGATGATGATGATGATGATGATGATAATAATGATAAATGATAGCAATAACAATTCATGTGATATTTATTACAATATTAATATAATACATTATTATACCCAATAATTTACTACTACTACTGCTACTACTAGTACTAGTACTATTACTACTACTACTACCACCACCACTACTACTACTGCTACTACTACTACTTAACAGCTAGCATTTATATAATACCTTAAGGTTTGCAGAGCACTTCACATATATAATCTCATTTGACCCTTACAACAATTCTGGGAGGTGGGTACTGTTATTATCCCCATTTTGCAAATGAGGAAACTTAGAGTTTTAAAGTATTGTACTCTGGGTCACACAGCCAATAAGTGTCTGAAGCTGAATTTGAACTCATATTTGCCTGCAAATATCAGTTGAAAGAAATGGGTCTATTTAGCCTGGGGAGAAAATCATACTTAGGAGAGACTGGATAGCTGCCTTCAAGTACCTGAAGGGTTGTCCTATGGAAGGGGATTAGGCTTATTCTTTTTGATTCCAGAAGGTAGGACCAGGAAGAATGGGTAGAAGTTTCAGGGGAACAAGTTTAGGCTTGACATAGGAAAAACTTTCTAATAATTAGAGGTGTTCCAGAGTGTCGTGGGCTGCTTAAGGAGCCCTTTGCTACAGTTCCTCGAGGAAAAGCTGGATGGCCACTTTTCTGATATAACAATAACAGCTGATATTTGTTGTTGTTGTCGTTATTGTGGTTGTTGTTATTGTTTGTGCTTTGTTTTTGAAGAGGACCATGACATCATGGAGGTGATGCCATGACATACAAGTGAATTGGATTTAAGTGAGGGAGGGCTGTGCAAAGTCACCAGCCTCACTTTCTCCTCCACAGCCATCTGGGGCCAGTGGTCAGATACACTGGAGATGGCTCCAGATACAGTGGGAGACCTTGGCCTTTTAAAGCCAAAGTCACTAGCAGTGTGACCCTGGGCAAGTCACTTAACCCCAATTGCCTAAAAAAAAAAAAAAGCTAAAGTCTTTAGCAGGTCTCAGTTTGACTGAGGCAACACTCATTTAGTGATTAACGCTAGGTTAAAAAAAAAAATATGAGGCCAAGAATGGCCTCTTTAACCTAGTCCAGAAAAAAAAAAAAAGAAACTCAGGGCAAGACCCTCAGGGTTTCTGGGCAAAACAGAAACAATTTCTATTTACATTTACTCTGAGTCAATCAGGGTCCAAACAATGACCAAATGGGGAGAAAGAAGGACAAACAGCAACTCTGTGAATAGTAAGAGCTATCTCCTGGGGATGCAACTGGAACTGGACAGTTGGGCAATACTGACGGGGTGCTGCTTGTGCTTGGACTAGCCCTTGGATAGCCGTAGGGCTATCTCTTTCCCCAGCCCAGAGACCCTATCTGTGGCAGTCACTCATGAATGGGCCCCAGTGAGGCAAACCGTCTCTCCCTGTTACAGGAACAAGCTGTCTTTTGTAGAGTTTCCCTTGTACGAACAGGACTATCTTGTATCAGCAGGAACTATTATGTACTGATTCCCACAGTTGCCATATACAACCCAAAGGTCAAGCTATAGATGTCAACTCCCGAAGTTATCTTGTTACGGACATAGCAGACAAAACCACATCCCTTAGAACCCCCACACACACCCCCATACCCTACTCCCTCTGCCCCACCCAGGCCAAGCCAGTAGTGACACCTGGGGCCAAGGTACAGAAACTGTAGGTTACCACCTAATTAGCATACTTGGCACACCTCTCACTGAACTTGTTCTATATAAGCTTTAGCATCACCCCCAGTAAGTTTCAAGTTCCCTCTTATCAACGCTCTTATGGCGTTACAATAAACTTTTTGCTACTTGACTGGAAGACAGCTTGAGTCCATGAATCTTTCCAGTTGACTTGCCCTGTACCTTGATATTTTGGAGTCCCTGCACCCCTAAACCATATCAATATGGCTCTTTCCTTCTTTTTCTCTTTCTTTGTTTCTTTCTTTCTTTCCCTTCTGAAATGTCGTAAGATATCTTGGTCTTTTACAGGCTGCATTTCTTTCTTAAGGATCATGCCTTAAACCCAAATCATTCTGCCTCTCACTGATTGGCCAACAGGAGGATCCAGCTGACATTTATAGAAAGATTTAAACACCTTAGGGTAGAAGGAAGCCGTGTGACTCAATAGATAGAACATTGGACCCAAAGTCAAGAAGACTTGTTCAAATCCAGCCTCAGACACTTGGGAGCTGCATGAACCTCCGCAAGTCACTTAACCTTTGTCTGTATGTTTCCTCAACTGTAAATCGGAATAATAACAGCACCTACCTCCCAAGGTTGTTGTAAGGATAAAATGAGATATTTGTAAAGTGATTTGCAGTTCTTAAGGTGCTATATAAATTCTAGCTATTATTAGTATCACTATTCCCATTTTACAAATAAGGAAATTGAGACACAGATTAAGTGAGTTGTTTATGGTAGCACAGATAATAAATGTCAAAGGCAGGATTTGAACCAGGTCTTTTTAACATTAGCTCTAGCACTTTAGCAACTATGCTATGTTAATGGGGGGCGGGGTGAGATGGTTCAGGTACTGATTGGATTTGACATTGCCTGGGACCACTTCTAGCTCTAAGATTCTGTGAATATAAAACGTGGTTTCTACCCTCAGGAAGTTAACCATGAAGCTGGATTGACAAAAACAAACACACACGTGCCAAAGAATAATTAGATGCTCAACTGTATGATACTGATTGTGACTCAATAGAAATTGGGAAAAAAGTCAAGGAAGACAGGTTGGAGGAGTAGGAGTTGGCCTTCTAGAGGGGCTGAGACTTGACCTGGTCTCTGAAGACTGAACAGGATGTAGCTAAGTATAAGGGGCGAAGGTCATTCCAGGTCAGGGAGTACTCTGCTGTCCATTCAGTACTCTCTTACCCCCTCTGCACAAACTGTTCTTGCAGGAAACGGGAGAGCAGATCGCCATCAAACAGTGTCGACAGGAGCTAAGTCTTCGGAATCGAGAGAGGTGGTGCCTAGAAATACAGATCATGAGAAGGTGAGCTTCTGGGGATCCTGCCCCATCCAAGGGGGTCTCCTGAAGCATAGGGATAATGAGGACACCAAGACTGTAAATGGAAGAAGTAACTGAGATCTAGAGTAAGAATATCCCAAGGTCTGAACCTGTGACTTAATTGGTAGGCAGGTGGGGAGGACGGGGACAGATATACATATATATATATATATGTATTCCATATGTTCCCTTCACTGGAACAGATGAGTGACTCTCTGTATCTTACAGTTTTATGATTTCAAAAGTTATTTGAAGCAAAGTTATTTTGATTGGTTAAATGACTTTGCATGGGCTATATACATATGCCAGAAGCAAGACTAAAACCCAGGTCTTCCTGACTTACAGCTGGCCATCCATCCCCTTTGCCAAAAATACTTTTAAATAGTCATTCTCGATTTAAAATCAGCGTTCTTGTAACTTCCATCTAAGACTTCCTTTACACTGCAAGTTCCTTGACAGCCAGGATGGTTTTTGCCTTTCTTTGAATCCCCAGCATTTACAGAGCGAGTAAGCATTGTCAAAATGGGGATATTAATAACGCCTACCTACCTCTTCAGGTTGTTTTGAGAATCAAATGAGATAACATTTATAAAGTGCTGTATAAGCTAGTTATTATGTCATTTTGTCTTTCTGAATCTCAGTTTCCTCATCCGTAAAATAAAGATGATAATATTTGAAACTAGGGCCTCTGGCTCCAGGGCTTAGTTCTCTGTTCCCTGTACCATTCTGTGAAGAGAGAAAAGAAAATTTATATATTTATATTTATATAAAGAGCCTATAAGCTAATGAGGCAGCTTAGTACAGTGGAAAGAGTCAAAGCACCTGGGTTTACATACCAGCTCTACTATTAACCTTGAACACTTAACATTTTGAGACTCAGCTCCCTCATCATTAAAATGAGAGAGTCGCACTAGATTGGAGGCTAAGACTCATTCGAGGTCTAAATCTGTGATCTCATGGTCCTATTTTAAAGGGCAGTCCATTGGAAGACAAAAAAAAAAATAAGATTCTATTCCGGCCCTCAAGGAACTTACAATCTAATAATTAAAATAATAAGATATTGACAGTATAGAGATAATACACTGGCTCTCCCCTTCTTAGACTGAACCATCCCAATGTCGTGGCTGCCCGGGATGTCCCTGAAGGGATGCAGAAGCTGGCGCCCAATGACCTTCCCCTGCTGGCTATGGAATATTGCCAGGGTGGAGACCTCCGAAAGGTAAAGTACCTGGATTGGGGCCTCTGATGGAGTGGGAGGAGTTTGGGACTTCTTTATTTGAGAGGATTATGAGGAGGACTTTTACAGTTTTTAAAATGAGGAAACTCAGAATAGCCAGGATGATTCCACCCTGATTTCATTAGCTTCTCAAGTGTCCCTGGCTGCTGCCCAGTTTCCAGTTTGGGGGTGATGTAAGATTGCTCTTGCATGTCTTTATCAGAAAGTTGTACAACAAGGATGGGGAAATGATTTCTATGGGTCCTGCTTCTCAGTTAAGATGAGGACAGCCTCTAGTGCTGGGTCTTGATTGGAGCCAATGAATGGAACACCAGCTTTGTAAACGTTAGGGAAAGGCCTTCTTTTGACCACTTGTTGGTACCTCTTCCTTATTTGACTTTCAGAGACACAACCTGGCCATATCAGGAGGGTTTTGGTTTTTTTTGCTTCTACAGTCCCAAAAAGACCAATAAGGAGTTTGCAAATGTGAGATAGGGCAGAGGGGAACACTGGAGCAAGAGTCCCCAAAACAGCTACACTTTCTGTTTCTGACCTCCACCATGGACTTGGTGTGTGATATCTCTCTGTGTCTTTCTTCATCTGTGAAAGAAGACGGTAGCATCTTACCAGTCTATTCACAAGGTTGTTGTAAAGATCAAATAAATATGATAGGAGACATTCTGATAAGATAAAAGCATTTGAAAAGTAAAAACTTCTATGAAAGGTAGTTATTAACAGCATTATCAGCATTTCCCTGAACGTAATTTTCCCAGTTAGTCCAAATCTCACTGAAGTCATCCTGAGTAAAGCTGGGATGGGCTTGAGGGGGACAGTGCCCTGCCCTTTATGCTATCCGTATGTCTCTATCCAAGGACACAATGTTATTCATTCATCTATCTCATCAGTCAATCCCACAGGAACTTTTTTTCCTTTTTTGAAAGAAACTTCCCTGTTTGATATTGTTTCCCCAACTCACTTAATCCACTCGTGGGCATGGGAATGGTAGTGTGTGTGTCAGAGCAGGATATGAGCACAGTCCCTGGCATGATAAGATAAGAAGAGGCCATGAGAAATCAGGGGATCTGATAGTGGTGTGTGTGCTTTTTTTTTCCTTCCTATTTTGCTAATCTTTGAAAAAGTTTTGAGTAGAGACATGCTTTTTATAAAGAGATTAAAAAAAAAACTGGTTGTTGAGGGTTGGGTTGTTTGGCTTTTTGGTGGAGTGGAGAGCATATGTTGAGGAATAGTGGGAAGTCTGTTTGGATTGAAACGATATCAGACTGTAGAAAACCCTGAAATTGAGCCAGAGAGGAGCTTAGACCTAACATGGTAGACAGTGGGGAGAAACTGAGCAAGGGAGTGACGTGGTGACAACGGCGCTTTAAGAAGGTTAGTCTTGTACTATTGTGCAGGAATGACGGAAAGGAGGAAATATGGAAATAAGGAAAAATACTGAAGAAGTAAGAGACTTGCCACTGTCATAATAATAATAGCTTGTAGGCAGCAAGGGGATAGAGTGCTAGGCCTGGCATTAGGAAGACTTGAGTTCAAATCCAGCCTCGGCCACTTACTAGCTAGGTAAGACACTTAACCCCTTTGCCTGAGTTTTCTCATCTGTAAAATGAGGATTAGCTACAGCACCTACCTCCCAGAGTTGCTGTGAGGATTAAATGAGATAATAACTATACAGTCCTTATCATAATGCTTGGCACATAGTAGGTGCTATTTAAATGCCAACTATTATTATTATGTTTATATAGTGTTTTAAGGTTTGCAAGGTACTCTGCCAACACTGTCTCATTTTATCCTCACAGAAGTCCTAGGAGGTAGATGACATTATTATCCCTTGTTTGATAGATGAAAAAACCAAGGCAAAGGTTAAGTGATTTGCCCTTGGTCACGAAATTAGTAAGTGTCTAAGGCAGGATTTGAATTCAGATCTTCCTGGCTTGAGGTCCTACATTATAGCTCCTATAACAGACTGCTGCTCTGATGGGAGCTTACCAATCAGAAGACAGTATTAAAGAGAGAGTGGGTGGCTCATAGTCAGTTTCATGGCCTACTGCCCCTGGCTGGGGTCACCCCAAGTTCTAAGTGTTGTCATCAATATTTGCAAGTTCAAAAAGTGAGTTTTATCAGTTCACCCAAGATTGATCAGGCTCTAATTACTGAATTCTTCTCACTAGACTAGAATGCCAACTGGTTAATTTACAAGGGTATGAGAACTAGTCACTCTCATTTGCCCAGGGTCCACCTTGGTGAATAAGTCCTTGAAAGAAGCCAACTTGGTCAGATGCAGTGAGGGCTATCTCTGGTAGAGGAACCCATGCCCTTTAGACTATTTCTGTCTACAGGGATAGTGTTGGTTGTTCAGAATTATGGCACCCCTTCCACTGGACATTCCCGGAGCCACGCCGACTGAGTGGTACTATATATAACTCTTTTTTTTTTTAATGTTCCTTAGTGGTACTATGTATAACTCTTTTTTTCAATTCCTTATCAGTCACCAAGAACACCACACCTCCTCATGACATACCTTGCTGTTTCCAAGATCCCAGCTTGTCTTCCATTAATCCCATTTTAAATTGATGCCTTCCCTTCAGGGAAGTACCCCAGAGTGCCTTACTGAGAATTATGAACCACTTTATGGGATCATAGATCTGGTTCTGGAAAGGAATTTAGAGGTCATCTAGTCCAACGCCCTCATTTTAAAAGTAAAGAAACTGAGGCCAGGAGGGGTAAAATGAGTGGCCATGCAAGGTCAAAAAAGGCCACCCAGGTTCTAAGTGGGTGCCAAGCTGGCATTCCAACTCTCTAGCCCTTTGCTCTACGTTCAACACTAGGAGTATAGACTTAAGACCTGGAAGGAACTTCAGAGGCCAACTGGCCTCTCATTATTAGATTGTAAATTCCTTGAGGGCAGGAATAGAATCTTACTTATTTTTACATGTCTCCCAGTGGACTGCCCTTAAAGGTATGGCTGTAGGATCACAGATTTAGACCTGCAGTGGATTTAGACCAAAGATTTAGAGTTTCAACATCCAATTTAGTCCAACCCCCTCATTTTACAGATAGAGGAACTGAGGCCCAAAGAGGTCAAGGGACTTGCCCACAGTCATACAAGTAGTAGTAGTAGCCGAACTGGGATTCAGACATCTGCCTTTTAACTCTACTACACCATACTGTCTCTGAAGGGTGAGGTGACCTCTGTAGATGGCCACTTATCCATTTATGTTGATTCTGATTAGCTTCAGTACCAGAAAATGAGCTCTTTGGACCTTCTTCTCACGTTCTGGGAGTAGCAGGGGATCCTGTTTGTTTATCAAGTGAGATCATATTTGTGAAGCACTTAGCACAGTGCCTGGTGCCTAATGGGCAATTAAGAAATGCCTCTGCCCTTCTCTTAGGCACTAACACCATCTGTGTGTGTCAGGAAGGAGGCAGAAGTCGGAGCTGTCCATTCCTCTGTGGGGAACTAGTGAGAGCTTTCCCTGATCTACATGTGATCTGTCAATCTCTTAGCAGTTTGCCAATGAGGCAACTCCTTTCATTTTCACATAATTTTCAGTCAAAACCAGAAAATCCACATTAAAAAAAAAAAACAAAACCCCAAAGCCAAGCCCTTTATCCCTGAATATAGACAAGCCTGGCTAATATGTAAACAAGTGTAAATGCCTGAATTAATCTTTACAAATATCTGTTAGCTTTCTAAGTAAATATTTGTACTAAAATACTAACAAAACAATATAATAAAAAATAACAAATCAAATGAGATAATATTTGTGAAGCACTTAGCACAGTGCCTGATGTCTAATGGGCAATTAACAAATGCCGCTGCCCTTCTCTTAAGCACTGACTAACACCATCTGTGTGTGTCAGGAAGGAGGCAGAAGCCAGCGCTGTCCATTCTCTCCTTCCTCTGTGGAGAACTAGTGAGAGCATTCCCTGATCTGTCGATCTCTAGGCACTTTGACAAAAATAATAAATCGGGGGCAGCTTAGTGGCGCAGTGGATAGAGCACTGGCCCTGGATTCAGGAAGACCTGAGTTCAAATACAGGCTCAGACACATAACACTAGCTGTGTGACCCTGGGCAAATCACTTAACCCCATTGCCTAGCAAAAATAATAATAATAATAATAAATCAGATGAGATAATATTCGTAAAGCATTTAAAATAGTATCTGGCACATAGTAGGCTCTTCATAAATGTTTGTTCCTTCCCCTTCAAACTAAACTTGCTCAGATAGTAAAAGAGATGAGGAAGCTACTGCGGCCCAGAGAGGCGATTTTGCAAAAATCACGATGGTAGTAAATGACAGGGACTGATTCTAAACCTAGAGTTCTTTCCTCAACAGCACTGCCTCTCCAAATAATGACTCACATTTACACAGCACTTTTAGATTTATTTAAAAAAAGAAAAGAAAAAGAACTATCCTCTTAATAACCTTATGTTGTTATATTTATTTAACAGATGAGGAGACTGAGGCACAGAAAAGTTAAGTGACTTGCTCAGAGTTATACAGCCAGTATGATTTGAATTCAGTTCTTCTGACCCTAAGACTGCTGCCCTCCCACATTTGTCTGCATGTAAGGAGGCCTGTACCTTTGACTCCTAGTGACTTCAGCTCCTTGATAAGTTCCTCCCATCATTTCTCCATGAGGACAGGGTGAGCATAGGTTAGTTTTCCATGGATGCTTTTCATCCCGCCCAATCTAAGAGACTCTGAGAAGAAGTGAACTGTAGCAGGAGTTAGAAACTGGCCTGCCTCCTTCAGAGTCGGGGTGGCAGGGAAAACCCAGGACTGTGATCTGTGGCTCAGGTCTGACTGCAGCTTCCAAGCCTGGGGCCCCTCAGAATCCCAGGCAGGCATGACTGAGCATGGAGAGATGGGAGCACTCCAGAGTGGGGAAGGTGACGGAAAGAAGCCATCACTTATCTGGGACCGTCCATCATCATTACACTGGGGATGTGTAATTTCCTTGGTGTGGGTCCTCTGCTCTGGGGCAGATTGTGACCTCTTTATCAGTCATAGGATGGCCTGGGAGAGGTGCTGGGCAGAAAAATTCACCCCACTGAGGCTAACTTTGTGATGAGCCTCTGAATTTAGCTAGGTCATTCCTACAGGAAGTACGGAGATCCAGTCTGTCTCCAGGTCCATACTCAGAGCCTTCCTGGCTTGCTGGGACATATGGCCTTCTTGACACCACCTCTTGTCACTCACAAAGTACTTTCCTCAGAACAACTCTGGAAGGGAGGGAGGACAACAATGCCCTCTTTTATAGATGAAACAAAACCTCGAGGCTTTTAAGTGAGGTTCCTATAGTCACATAACCAATAACAACAAAAATGATGGAAGTAGAGACTGGACTGGGGACTCCCTTGATATGAGAGAAACTCCCTTTTCCAATTCAGACTGACACAGTCTTTGAAATAGTTTAAAATAGTTTTAAAGACGTTCCTAGAGCAGGAGCCTCCAGCCAAATCAGGCCTGTCTCAGTACAGTCCTGGGCAGTTGTCTGTTGTATGCCGACCCCAGTCCTAGAGCACTGAGAGATTCTGTGGATTTGCCCAGAATCACATAGACAGAATGTGGCAGAGGTGGAGATTCTGGCAGTCAGAAAGCATTTACTAAGCACCTACTATGTGCCAGGAACTGTGCCAAGTGCTAGAGATAGAAAGAAAGGCAAAAGAGCTTCCTTGCCCTCAAGGAGCTCACTGTTTAATAGGGGGAGATAACATACACCTAAGCTATATATAAACAAGCTAAATTAGAGATTTACACACAGAGGGCCCTAGAAGGAAGAGGGATTGGGAAAGGCTTCTTGCAGAAGGTGGGATTTTATCTGGGACTTGAAGGAAGCCCTAGGTGTTACAGTGGATAGAGTGCCTGGCCAGGAGTCTGGAAGACTCATCTTCTTGGGTTCAAATCCATTCTCAGACATTTGCTAGCTTTGTGACCCTGGGCAAGTCACTTTACCCTGTTTACCTCAGTTTCCTCATCTATAAAATGAGCTGGAGAAGGAAATGGCAAACCACTCCTGGATCTTTGCCCTGAAAACCACAAATGGGGTCACAAAGAGGCAGACGTGACTGAAAAATGACTTTGTAGAATATATCACTTTATGGTTTGCAAGCCCTTTACATAATTATCTCATTTGTTCCTCACAGCTACCCTGTGAAGTAGATCTTATTATCTTGATTTTATAAATGAGGAAATTGAGGTTCAGAGAAATCAGTGATTGTCAGAGGGTCACATGGCTAGTATCTTGAGGCAGGTTTTGAACCCAAATCTTTCTGAGTCCTTATCCAGTGTTATATTCACTATAGTCCATTACCTGTCTCTGCCAGTAAACTGTTGTGTTTAGAAGTTCCAAATCCAGTGCTATCGGTGATGCAATGGATAGAAGCCTGGGCCTGCAGTTAGGAAAATCTGAGTTCAAATTCAACTTCAGCTACTTATTAGCTGTGTGACCCTGGGCAAGTCACTTAACCTTTGTTTGTTTCAGTTTCCTCATCTGTAAATGGGGATAACAATAGCATCCACCTCCCGGGGTTGTTGTGCAAGTCCAACAAGATAATAATTGTAAAGAGCTTAGTTAGCACAGTGCCTGGCACATAGTAGGTGTTATATAAATGGTTATCCTCTTCCTCCACATCCAGACTTACAGCCATGGCTTTGTTTCATTTACCTCCACCCTAGAATGTGCTGGGGGTGGGGTGGGGATGGGGAATGGTACTCACTCTCCAAAACATATCCTCTTTTGATGGAAGACATAGTAATAAGCTCTTGTATAGAAGAGTGTAGACCGAAGATGGGGCCATTCCTGGGGATATGTGAAACCTGGGCGGTTTGTGTTCTGCTCCTTAAATTAAAGACTTTATCCAGATTTAAAGTCAAATTGAAATAAATACCAACAGCAGCCCTGAAAAGGCAAGAAGAAGGATTTTACAGGCTCGTTGATTAAGAGATGGAAGGAATCTTTGAGGTCATCTAATCCAACTCCCTCATTTCAAAATTAAGGAAATGAAGGCTAGGAACTTAAGTGACCTGTCCAAGGTTACACAGATAAGTAGGATTCTATCCAGGTTCAAATCCAGCATCCTTTCGATGTACTGTGCTGCCGTCCGTGGAGCTGTTACCAAAGAGCACGTGACGTTATATTTGGATACAACCCATTTCGTAAGAAAGCAACAGTGCCCTAGGGAGTGGATGACTATAGCCGGTGCGTTGAGCCTTTAAAGTCAAGACTGTTCATCCTACACAGGGGTGGAGCCTGGTGCAAAGCTTTTGTGAGCTTTCGGGTAATTTGCTGCTACCTGTAAAAGGCTGATAGAGTCTGATGCTTTTTTTCCCTTTGAAACCCTGACAGTACCTGAACCAGTTTGAGAACTGCTGTGGCCTTCGGGAAGAAGCCGTCCTCACTCTGCTTTCTGACATTGGTAAATTGGATTCCAGGGTGCATCGGTTATTGGATGGAGGAGGGTGTTGTGTGGTCAGCACCAAGCCCTGGGGGAACTGGGGAACCATCTCAACACGTCGTCCTCTTACTGAGAGTGAGAGAGAAGGGAAGTGAGGCAGGTCAGGCAGATAAATGCCAAACTCAAGTAGATTTCTCTTCCTTCTTGTCTAAGTTATGAAGAATTATGATGTATACAGAAAAATTGATTTCCTTTCCCATTAAAATAGCTCCACTCCCTCTTTTCCTGGAAGGGCCAAAGATAGCCTAAGCTGTCATTTTAGTAAATTTTATTCCCTTGCAATAAATTCTTTCTCTTCCAAAAAAGTGAGATTAAGAAAAATGACCTTTGTATGGCCTTTTGATACTTATAACTTGTATGTAGAGCTTTTCCTCAATATAGTCCTTGGAGGTAAGTCATGAAAGGATAATTATCCCTCTTTCCCATCTAAGGAAACTAAGACTCGGAGATTAGGGGACTTGTCTAGGGTCATATAGCTATTTAGGGTCATAGTCAGGATTAGAACCAGGTCTTTCAGTCCACAAGACCCTGCTCGTATCCTCCTTGTATCAACCCATGTTGCCTGCTTCCTACAATCTTCTGCTTGTCTCAATATCTTTAGTCTCCTGGTCTTTGAAGCATTGTGTAAGGAATCCAAGTGGGCATCCGGGAAGGGGCTAAGTGTTAATGGCAACCTGTGGAGAGACTCCTCTGTCCCTCCAAACTTGGTACCTCCCACAGGTGGCATGGAGTTAGAAGGTAGTAGGAGATGAAGGAGGTAGGCTTTAGACACATTGATTCCCTAGGAAACCAGAAAGCAGTAAAGAAAGTGGGAAGCCTCACCCTGCGATGGTTGGTACAGGTGAGGAATGTAGGGCTACAGAGGGGAGGTCATGGAGCAAATTGAGGGATATCTTTGTGTTTCTGCTATCGGCTACATAGCACAAATGTACTTTTCTTAAGCGGGGTTCTCGAGCTGTGGTCTGGGGGTAATAGTGGGGAACCCTCCCCACCCTTCATTCTCCCGCCAACACTTTTCCTTTGGCATCTATTGTGTGCTCTACTCTCACCTGTACCGTTTTGGTGTCTTTGATAGTACATGGGGGGCAGCTAGGTGGTGCAGTGGATAGAGCACTGGCCTTGGAGTCAGGAGGACCCGAGTTCAAATGTGGCCTCAGACACTTATTAGCTGTGAGACCCTGGGCAAGTCACTTAGCCCCAATTGCCTCCCAAAAAATTGTTTAAGGATAGTACATGGGTAAGAAAGAAGAGAAAGAGTGACTGGCAAGATATGGCACCTTTGAGGAGAGAAGATTGACAGTCCTACAACCTTCCTTTATCTTCTCCTGGGAGGGAGAATAGTCTTTTGTCCTTCCTCTCCTACATTCCCATAAACATAATTTGATGTGATGCCTGTCTTATCTAACTCCAGCGTATTGCCTCCAGCACTGACCACCAAGTGTGGCTCATTACCATAGAGGTCTGCTGAAGGGGGATTGGGGACCAGGGAAGGAGGCATTCTGTGAGGGTGGAAGCCCACTCAACTTCTTGGTGTCTTTCCGCATGTAGTGTGATTATGTCATCAACATTCCATCCCTGACCAAATCAACAACTTCTCCTTTGGTGTTGTTCCACACCCTAAATCACTGAAGATGAAGTAGTAAGGTTGGAAGGCTCTCTTGCTCTTTTTTGGCAACTTGTTTTGTTGTCTTATAAGGTAATTTTAATTTTGTTTAGCTTACCCTAGTCACTCTCTTTATTTGGTGCTAATTTCTTTAAAAAAAATTTTTTTTTCAGTTAACAGAGGCCTACTTTCTCTCCCATCCACCCTTCCCCTTCACCCATTGAAAAAGAAAAAATAAAATAAACCCTCATAACAAATACACTTAAGAAGAAAGGAAACAAGAATTTGATAAGCACCTATTATGTGCTAAGCTCTTTACAAATGTTATTTCATTTGATCCTCACAGCCACCCTGAGAGTTAGTGCTGTTTTCATCCTCATTTTGTAGATGAGGAAATTGAGCCACCTAGGTTAAGTGACTTGCTTAGGATCATACAACTAGTAAGTGTCTGAGGCCAGATTTGAACTCGGGTCCTCTTGACTCTACGCCTGGAGCTGTATTCACTATTCCACTTACTTGCCTTTAGTCAAGCAAAACAGATTTGCATATTGGCCACGTTCAGAAAACATCTCTCGGTCTTCACCCTGAATCTAACACCTCTCTGATTATCAAGGAGTGGGTAGCATGCTTCATCTCTGGAATTGTGGTAGGTCATTGCTTTGATTAGAGTTAAGTCCTTCAAAATTTCTTGTCTTTACAGTGTTGTTATTCCCATATAAATTGTTCTCCTGGATCTGCTCACTTCACTCTGCATCAGTTCCTCCAAGTCGTCTAAGGTTTCTCTGATACCATTTCTTTTCATCATTTCTTACAGCATAGTGGTATTTCATCCCATTCATATACCATAGTTTGTTCAGCCATTCTCCAGTTGATGAGTGCCCCCTTAGTTTTCTGTTTCTTTGCCACCATAAAAATATTTTATGCTGCTATAAATATTTTTGTACAGCAGGGTCCTTTCCCTTTTTCTCTAATCTTTTTGGGTATGTCATCGTTGGGGAGAACCCAGCTTTTTTTGAAGAGTCTTTGGAGGCCTGGGAACCTCTGCAGCTATGTGTAGACTGCAACCTGAGATTGGGAACCAGTGGACCAGGACTGATCATTGTTTATTCTCTTCTTTAAGATTTCTAAGAATAAGGACTCTCTGACTTTCTCTGTTATGCATTCCCATCAAGAAATCTTAGTTCTCCTTGCAGTAAAGAAATTCTTCCTTATTTCTACCCCAAATATCTTCTAGATTAATGTAAGACTATTCCTTTTATTTAGCCCTCAGTCAATAGGGGGAGAAAAGCTGGTCAGCATCCTCTTCGTAAAAACTCGTGTGTACTTTTTATACTTGGTGAAATGCTGAGCAATATCTTTTCCTAAATGGTCCAGTGATTACAGCATTAGTGCAGACATTTTCCATGCTCTATATATTCCTAATTGCCAATCCTCTCATTATCTTAGGGTTTGTTCCTATCGGTTCACAGTGGATTGCAGAGAATTAGGATGGAGTCAACAAACCATCTTCAGCTTCTCTGCATTAGCCGGAGCAATCCCCGTGCCTGAAATGAACTCCCAAGTATCTTTATCTTTCTCCAAGGTGCAGATCAAGTGCTGCCCTCTCTCCATAGCCTTGGCTAATCCCTACAGTTGAAAATCTTCTCTGCCTCCTCCAGTGTTCTGGGAGCACTGCATCCCTTTCATTCCCTACATTGTGGTGTGCTTATATATGTTCATGAGGTATTCTCTCCTCCGCCATAAAAACGTGAGCTCTTTGAGAATGAGGACTATTTTTGTCTTTGTAACCCCAGTGGCTAGCACGTTATCTTGCCTGGTGTTGGCCATAGGCATCATTGCACTGAATGGAATTAATTAGGAGCAAATAGAATTCTATACAATTCTCATTTATTCAAATGTTGCTGACCTAATGCTTTCATCAATTAATGTAATTTGAATGATACAGTCTTCCAGAATTTTTTTGTTGTTGAGTCGTTTCAGTCACGTCCAGCGCTTTGTGAGCCCATTTAGGGTTTTCTTGGCAAAGATACTGGAGTGGTTTGCCATTGCCTTCTCCAGCTCATTTTACAGATGAGGAAACTGAGGCAAATAGGATCGAGGGACTTACCCAAGGTCGCACAGCTAGTAAGTGTCTGAGGCCAGATTGGAACTCAGGTCTTTCTGACCCTAGGCCCAGCACTTTATCCACGGATTAGGAGAAGAGAAATAAACATTTATTAAGCACCTACTTTGGGCCAAACACTGTGCTAAGCGCTTCACAAATATTATTTCATTTGATTCTCACAACAATCCTGGTGAGCTGGTGCTACTATTATCTCCATTTTGCTAATGAGGAAACTAAGGCAGACAGAGGATAAGAAACTTATTCGGGGTCACACAGCTGGTGAGTGTCTGAGGCTGGATTTGAACTCAGGGCTTGAATTTCAGGATCAGCACTTCAAGGACCATTTATTTTAGGCTCTCTCTCTCTTTTTTTTTATCTTTTCCATAGCATTTTGCTTTTTTAAGCAATCACTTACTTAGCCAGCACCAGACTCATATGTATTCCTGTGCTTTGTGGTATAAAACATGGCCTCAGTCTACAAGGAGATTATATTAAAGCACATAAAACTACTGAAAGAATGTGTCAATAATGGATAATAAATGATTGATAATAATAGCAATTCAGAAGAGGGGGACAGTTGAGGGCTAGAGAGGTCAAGGGAAGGCATTTTATTTTTTCCCCATGAGTATTTTTAAAAAATAACTTATTTTTGATATTTATTTTTTTTAAATTTGAGTTCCAAATTTTCTCCTTCTTTCTCATCCTTCTCTTCCCCATTGAGAAGTCAAGCAATATGATATCAATTATACATTGCAAAGTCATGTAAAACATTTTCATATTAGCTAGCCCTGTTGGGAAAAAAAGGTAAAAAAAATAAATAAATAAAGACAGTGAAAAAAAAATATGCTTCAACCTGCAATCAGAGTTCATCAGTTATCTCTGGAGACAGATAGTATTTTTCACCATGGCTCCTTGGAATTGTTTCAAGAAAACATAACAATTAGAGCTGTTCAAACGTGACATGGGTCACTCTTCTCCTTAGAGATCTTCAAGCGGAGCCCGAAGGATCCCTGTCTAGTATGTTATAGTGGGCTGGACTAAATGGCCACTGGGGACCTTTCCCGTTCTCTAATTCTGTGAGAAATTAACAGGTCGTAATGACTAACTGAATATGGTAGGTAAAGGAAAGGGGTCTGTAAAAAAAAATTATTCCAAGGCAGGCAGTGAATATGACTCCCACCCCCCACCTCATCTTGACCAAACCTTCCCTCTTAACAAAGAAAAACAGCAATTTTGTGGAACAGTCTGATCCCA